ACTCACCCCCCTCCCCTTCGCTTTCACCTTAAACTCGTCCCATTAAAAACCATCTCGGGCAGACGGCGTGGAGTTTGTCGAGTCTAGTGTGACGTAGTTAATCGTCTGCTCCGCCTAGAGGTGGCTGGCCGACAAGAAACATGGAATCGTTCACGGCTCGTCCCAGTCGTACGCCGCTCACTGGCTCGTACACGGCTCGTACACGGCTAGTACGAATCTAATTTCTAATTAGTGCGGATTATTTGTTACAAACTTTGGGCTTCGTGAATGTGAATCTTGGAGGCTGACATATGTCAAATGTCACATTCTATGTGTGAATTGTTATAAGGCTGTCATTTTATATTGGTGAATTTCTATAAGCCTGTCATGTTATAATGTTAGGTTAGGTTAGTTTTAGGATTAGGATAAGGTTTATGTTTAGGTTTAAGTTTAGGTTAACGTCTTTATGACTCATAGATGGAAAGGATTAGGTTAAACTCTCTATGTGTGTGTGTGCGCATGTGTAAATAAGTGAGTTCATATTTTGTATGTGTTTGTGTGTCTACTAGCCGGTAAGTTTGAGTGTCAATGTGAGCAAATAGAAAACATAATTTTAATTAATAGGATTAATTTAGAAAATACAATTAACCTAAATATTCGGGTTAAATGGTAGCGATCGTGTTTAGCGTGGTCGTGTTTAGCGTGGTCGTGTTTAGCGTGGTCGGTGTGTATGTGTCACGTGGTCTGGTCACGTGCCTTGGTCACGTGATAAGACCACGTGATAAGACCACGTGATCTTGTAGTCTGGCTGCAGCCCTAGCGATGGAGAACATTCTGACGTCATGCTGCTATTTTTAGATCGGCCTCTTCACACTTGGGCCGTGAGGTGGGGTCAGTCAATGTCCAGTCGGTCAGGTCATGTTTGGTGACCGGGCGCGGCTCATGGGGCTGTCTTAGTCGTCTGGACGGGAGGGAAATATTTGAACGCTGGACGGCCAAGTTCGTTGGACGGCCAAGTCAGACTGTACTTTTCTGTCTGGTGTGTCTGTCTATTGTGTCCGTCAGTAGGTATGTCGGATGTGTCTATGTGGTGTGTGTCAGAATGTTGCGTGTATTGTATGACTGCATTTTTTGTATGTATGTATGTATGTATGTATGTATGTATGTATGTATGTAGCGATATACATTGGCGTTTGCATCATCTTGCGCAAACGGCGTCCGTTTCTCTAAATAAAACATGGGAATGTCTGCAAATATTTGTAAATAAGAATTTGTTAAGAGTCCTTCGCCCAGGGAGCTGAAATATGTTGCTACGCATATATATATATATATATATATATATATATATATATATATATATATATATATATATATATATATATATATATATATATATATATATACACATGCACGCTTAAGATATCCATTATTCTCCTGGAAGCACGACTCGGTATATCTTGTAGCCCGCAGATGTAGCCGTACGTAGCGCCATCCATGCCCCAGGCGGGGTGTGCACCCAGTACCACCGTCACCTGACACCCCGCCATTACCCTGCACATCTCAGGTTTCATATTTTCTCCTCACATCGCTGGAAAAAAAACTTGAAACATTTTTTACGTCGATCGTTACAAGAAGTTAAATTCAATTTTGCATGAGAGAAAAAAAAACTTTCCACGGTGGAATGTTTGTGGTGTTGTCGGGGTGGGGGATGGGTTTGTGTAGGGGGGGGGGGGGGTAGGGGGCACGAGTGTTATCACCAGGAGGATCTGTACAAATTGTTATCAGATTTTGTGTCGTAATGATGAGAAGGTCATTTTGTTTTGGTCGTGCCGCATGTACATGTTCAGTGTATATATATATATATATATATATATATATATATATATATATATATATATATATATATATATATATATATATTGTTGTGGAGACTGGCTCAGACTTCTGACCCATATGTGAGTTTTTGACCACAGAAAAAGAGGGCCCAACTGTTTGTATGTGGAGATGGCCCTTATGGGGATATGACCCACATCTATACCTAAAGATGACCAATATTGATGTGTATATGGCCCACTTCTATGCCTAAAGATGGCCCATATTGATGTGTATATGGCCCACATCTATGCCAAAAGATGGCCCATATTGATGTGTATATGGCCCACATCTATGCCCACATCTATGCCAAAAGATGGCCCATATATATGTCTAGAGATGGCCCATACTTATCTGTATATGGCCCACTTCTATGCCTACAGATGGCCCAATTTAATGTGGCACCGACCAGCCTACCTCATTATGAGCGTGGTAGGACAAAATTTGAATTATAAATTCGGGACCCCCCTCCCCCCAGCCGTTACATTAGCAAAGAGAAGCTTAAATAGGTCGTGTGGTATCGACGTGTTTGTCGGGCGACCGTTTCACTTGGTCGCCCCGGCCACAGTTGACGGTGTCAGGGGGAAACACAACATGTGTACACGACTCTGGCTTTCACACTTCTCTCTCGTCTGCTGGATGGAGTTGGTACCAGGAAACATGTGAAATTCGCCAGGATGTGTTTGTGATGTGATTTCACAGTGGACACATGTGATGTGGGTGGGCGGGCGTGTGGGATGTGTGGGGTCACGTGACCAGGTTTGTGGGGAGCCGCTGGAGGGGAACTTGTATGCCAGGAATGTCAGCACGTGTCTAGACTAACTCTGCTTGACCTGCACTCCGCCTGGTGCAGTGGCTCTAATCTAGATGTGTGTGTGTGTATGTATGTGTGTGTGAGGGTTGTGTGTGTATGTGTGAGGGATGTGGTTTTTTTTATGCGGTCATGTTAATGATACTATTAAGTCCAGTTAAGTCAATTATTAAGTCAAGTTGTTAAATCAAGTCAAGTTTTAGATCATTCGCCTTAAGTCAAACTAATGTATACAGGTCATTTAGAGTTGACTTTGCCTTGTCCAATTGTTAATTTAAGGCTTCATTGAATTGTGTGTCTAAGTTTAGACGTGACGTCACGGCGTTACATAATAGAGCGTGACGTAATGGGCGTGTAGGCGGTCCACCAACGAAGGGCGTGTCTTACAACTCATGAATGAATGGATCCTGGCAGTGTTTCTTCCAGACTTTTTTCGGGGGGGGGGGGGGGGGGGGGGTCAACATTTTTCGGGGAGTATCGTCCCATACAGGATTGGGGGGGGGGAGGCGTTCTAATTTAGGGCTACACGAGATTAATTTATGATTTTTATATTAATTAGTATTTTTTTAAATAGACCATTTGGCTCAACCAGAAATAGGTTCTATAATAAATGCCCCGGGACATTAGCCGTACCCCTAACATTGACGCCACACATTTGAAGCCTAAGGTTACGATCAAGGGATAGGATTAGAGTTATCTTTAACCTGGGAAAGTGCAGTCAGATAGCCTGTTAGATATGTATTTTTGTGTGTTGCGTATGTTCGTGTATTCCGTGTGTGTGTGTGTGTGTGTTCCGTGTGTTGCGTGTGTGTGTTCCGTGTGTTGCGTATGTGTGTGTGTGTGTATGTGTGTGTGTGTTCCGTGTGTTGCGTGTGTTCCGTGTGTGTGTGTGTTCCGTGTGTTGCGTGTGTTGCGTGTGTGTGTTCCGTGTGTTGCGTGTGTTGCGTGTGTTGCGTGTGTATGTGTGTGTGTTGCGTGTGTTGCGTGTGTTGCGTGTGTTGCGTGTGTTGTGTGTTGTTCAATGGGCATGCCACCCCCGTGCTGTATTCGCCTGTCTAATTTATTGTAAGGGAGACGATAAGTTTACCGTGACCCAGGTCCCATAACTCCACATTACAGCCAAGTCTATTTTTAGCACCCGGCCGCTGTATTATTTCCGTACAATGACGTCATGTATTTATGTGTACTGCACACAAGCCGAGTGACAGGGAGGGGACAGCACTCGGCATAAACAAAACCATTCACGCTGTGCTCCTAGCCAGGACGTTCAATCAACAAAATTCATGTGACGCAACTCTCCCAACTGTGTTTTCCTAGTTATCCCCCTTTTTGAACCTCAAATTCCCTGTGTGTGTCGCGCTAAAGAGGATTATCTCCACATGACTGGCTATTAATCCTGCGGATTAGTGTGGAATTCTGGAACGGATTAAGCCGGAGTTTTGGATTATGTGTCGCTAGTGGATGGTGATTGGCCGCTGGTCATGTACGGCCCCCCAGCATGGCGCTAGTTTGTTGGCTGCTCGTGGTCACGTGGTGCCTGCAGCCATGTCTGGCGGACACGGGCCCAGGATCGAGCCCCAAGAAGAAGGACAATGAAGGTAGCCAACGTTACACGTGTTTCACATTCAGATCTTCTAGGATATGTGTGTTATATAAGTTGTGTGTACAGATGTTAGTTGTATGTACATGTGTAAGTTCTATGGCGAGACCTAAGCGCTATGTAGAGTTGTAAGTTGTATCGTAGAGATGTAATAACCAGAGTGGCGATGTAATTAGTAAAGAAGATAAACAAAAAGATGAAATAAATGCTTTGTTATATATTTTGACCCTATTTAGCACACATTGTCACACATGTCCTTCCCTCCACCTTTGGTTGTACTAAATGTTTGACGTCACTACTGGGTGACCTCTGTCCTACCTCTTTAGACACCCCGTCTGTGATACAGTCTTATAACATAACACTAACAGCATACAACTTATAACAATAGCATACAACATATAACAGTATAATGTTGATTATCGCAGGTTGTCCCACACCACATTAACTCTACTTCACCTCCCCCACTAATGGTCACGTTACCTTTTGTTTGGTTGGTATCGAGTATTCTACATAACACCACACTACACAACACCATATCCACACTACATGACACCACATCTACACTACATAACACCACATGCACAATACATGAAACCACATCCACATTACATGACACCCCACTACATGATGCCACACTACATGACGCCACACCCACACTACACGACAAATACAAATATTAAACACTCCACCCCTACTAAACAACACCCAGCCCCTCTAACTCCCCTCTCTCCCCCACAGACTCGGCGCCCGTGGGTAAGTGCACCCTGGAGCGCCTGGAGGCCCTGCAGGTGACCCAGACAGCCCAGAACTCTGACGTGCTCATCCCGACCTGCAAGGAGGACGGCAGCTTCCACCACATCCAGTGCCACAACTCCAGCGGCTACTGTTGGTGCGTCACCAAGGAGGGGCGCCACATCCCCGGGACCTCGTCCAAGGGGCCGCGACCCACGTGCAGCAAAGGTAGGTCACGTGGTGCCCGTGGTGTGTCGCAGTATAAGTCAGTTAACGCAGTTAAACACAGGGTATCATACGTAATAAAATACAACTAAGTTCAGTTAGTGGTTATGGGACCGTTCAATTAGTTATTAGAGGACCGTTCAAAATTAGAGGACCGTTCAATTAGTGATTAGAGGATCGTTCAAAATTAGAGGACCGTTCAATTAGTGATTAGAGGACCGTTCAATTAGTGATTAGAGGACCGTTCAAAATTAGAGGACCGTTCAAAATTAGAGGACCGTTCAATTAGTGATTAGAGGACCGTTCAATTAGTGATTAGAGGACCGTTCAATTAGTGATTAGAGGACCGTTCAATTAGTGATTAGAGGACCGTTCAATTAGTGATTAGAGGACCGTTCAAAATTAGAGGACCGTTCAAAATTAGAGGACCGTTCAATTAGTGATTAGAGGACCGTTCAAAATTAGAGGACCGTTCAATTAGTGATTAGAGGACCGTTCAAAATTAGAGGACCGTTCAATTAGTGTTTAGAGGACCGTTCAATTAGTGATTAGAGGACCGTTCAATTAGTGATTAGAGGACCGTTCAATTAGTGATTAGAGGACCGTTCAATTAGTGATTAGAGGACCGTTCAATTAGTGATTAGAGGACCGTTCAATTAGTGATTAGAGGACCGTTCAAAATTAGAGGACCGTTCAAAATTAGAGGACCGTTCAATTAGTGATTAGAGGACCGTTCAATTAGTGATTAGAGGACCGTTCAATTAGTGATTAGAGGACCGTTCAATTAGTGATTAGAGGACCGTTCAAAATTAGAGGACCGTTCAATTAGTGATTAGAGGACCGTTCAATTAGTGATTAGAGGACCGTTCAAAATTAGAGGACCGTTCAAAATTAGAGGACCGTTCAATTAGTGATTAGAGGACCGTTCAAAATTAGAGGACCGTTCAATTAGTGATTAGAGGACCGTTCAATTAGTGATTAGAGGACCGTTCAAAATTAGAGGACCGTTCAAAATTAGAGGACCGTTCAATTAGTGATTAGAGGACCGTTCAATTAGTGATTAGAGGACCGTTCAAAATTAGAGGACCGTTCAAAATTAGAGGACCGTTCAATTAGTGATTAGAGGACAGTTTAAAAAGTGATTAGGCTGTCACGTGACTAACATATGGCGTCACAGGATATACGTCATGCCAGCATTTGGGCGCTTATTTATACATGGGACAGTATGATGAGCGGTTGCTGTTAACATAGTTGACATCGTGACCCTAACATATGTTGACTTCGTGACCCTAACATATGTTGACCTCGTGACCCTAACATATGTTGACCTCGTGACCCTAACATATGTTGACCTCGTGACCCTAACATATGTTGACCTCGTGACCCTAACATATGTTGACCTCGTGACCCTAACATATGTTGACCTCGTGACCCTAACATATTTGACCTCGTGACCCTAACGTATGTTGACCTCGTGACCCTAACATATGTTGACAGACAACATTTTAAACCGCTAAATTGTCTGCAGCGTGCCATATTTGTTTCCACGCATATTCGCGAGGTCACGATGACCGAACATTTTAAACTTGTGAGTAGTCCAGGGTTGGTAGGGTTGGGTTGGATAGGGTAGGGTTCTTTAGGTACCCACGAGAATTGCGTGGAATCCGCGATCCGATATTGCGTACACATACAACTATAACCAATGCCTCTAGTACCACATACAACCAATGCCACTAGTACCACATACAACCAATGCCACTAGTACCCCATACAACCAATGCCACTAGTACCCCGTACAACTAATGCCACTAGTACCCCATACAACTACAACCAATGCCACTAGTACCACATACAACCAATGCCACTAGTACCACATACAACCAATGCCACTAGTACCCCATACAACCAATGCCACTAGTACCCCATACAACCAATGCCACTAGTACCCCATACAACTAATGCCACTAGTACCCCATACAACCAATGCCACTAGTACCCCATACAACCAATGCCACTAGTACCCCATACAACCAATGCCACTAGTACCCCATACAACCAATGCCACTAGTACCACATACAACCAATGCCACTAGTACCCCATACAACCAATGCCACTAGTACCCCATACAACTAATGCCACTAGTACCCCATACAACCAATGCCACTAGTACCACATACAACCAATGCCACTAGTACCCCATACAACCAATGCCACTAGTACCCCATACAACCAATGCCACTAGTACCCCATACAACCAATGCCACTAGTACCCCATACAACCAATGCCACTAGTACCCCATACAACCAATGCCACTAGTACCCCATACAACCAATGCCACTAGTACCCCATACAACCAATGCCACTAGTACCCCATACAACCAATGCCACTAGTACCCCATACAACCAATGCCACTAGTACCCCATACAACCAATGCCACTAGTACCCCATACAACCAATGCCACTAGTACCACATACAACCAATGTCACTAGTACCACATACAACCAATGCCACTAGTACCACATACAACCAATGCCACTAGTACCACATACAACCAATGCCACTAGTACCCCATACAACCAATGCCACTAGTACCACATACAACCAATGCCACTAGTACCCCATACAACCAATGCCACTAGTACCCCATACAACCAATGCCACTAGTACCCCATACAACCAATGCCACTAGTACCCCATACAACTAATGCCACTAGTACCCCATACAACCAATGCCACTAGTACCACATACAACCAATGCCACTAGTACCCCATACAACCAATGCCACTAGTACCCCATACAACCAATGCCACTAGTACCACATACAACCAATGCCACTAGTACCCCATACAACCAATGCCACTAGTACCCCATACAACCAATGCCACTAGTACTCCATACAACCAATGCCACTAGTACCACATACAACCAATGCCACTAGTACCACATACAACCAATGCCACTAGTACCACATACAACCAATGCCACTAGTACCCCATACAACCAATGCCACTAGTACCCCATACAACTACAACCAATGCCACTAGTACCACATACAACCAATGCCACTAGTACCCCATACAACTACAACCAATGCCACTAGTACCCCATACAACCAATGCCACTAGTACCACATACAACCAATGCCACTAGTACCCCATACAACCAATGCCACTAGTACCCCATACAACCAATGCCACTAGTACCACATACAACCAATGTCACTAGTACCACATACAACCAATGCCACTAGTACCACATACAACCAATGCCACTAGTACCACATACAACCAATGCCACTAGTACCCCATACAACCAATGCCACTAGTACCCCATACAACTACAACCAATGCCACTAGTACCACATACAACCAATGCCACTAGTACCCCATACAACTACAACCAATGCCACTAGTACCCCATACAACCAATGCCACTAGTACCACATACAACCAATGCCACTAGTACCCCATACAACCAATGCCACTAGTACCCCATACAACCAATGCCACTAGTACCACATACAACCAATGTCACTAGTACCACATACAACCAATGCCACTAGTACCCCATACAACCAATGCCACTAGTACCACATACAACCAATGCCACTAGTACCCCATACAACCAATGCCACTAGTACCCCATACAACCAATGCCACTAGTACCCCATACAACCAATGCCACTAGTACCCCATACAACCAATGCCACTAGTACCACATACAACCAATGCCACTAGTACCACATACAACCAATGCCACTAGTACCCCATACAACCAATGCCACTAGTACCCCATACAACCAATGTCACTAGTACCACATACAACCAATGCCACTAGTACCACATACAACCAATGCCACTAGTACCACATACAACCAATGCCACTAGTACCCCATACAACCAATGCCACTAGTACCACATACAACCAATGCCACTAGTACCACATACAACCAATGCCACTAGTACCACATACAACCAATGCCACTAGTACCCCATACAACCAATGCCACTAGTACCGCATACAACCAATGCCACTAGTACCCCATACAACCAATGCCACTAGTACCCCATACAACCAATGCCACTAGTACCACATACAACCAATGCCACTAGTACCACATACAACCAATGCCACTAGTACCCCATACAACCAATGCCACTAGTACCCCATACAACCAATGCCACTAGTACCCCATACAACCAATGCCACTAGTACCCCATACAACTACAACCAATGCCACTAGTACCACATACAACCAATGCCACTAGTACCACATACAACCAATGCCACTAGTACCACATACAACCAATGCCACTAGTACCCCATACAACCAATGCCACTAGTACCCCATACAACTACAACCAATGCCACTAGTACCACATACAACCAATGCCACTAGTACCCCATATAACTACAACCAATGCCACTAGTACCCCATACAACCAATGCCACTAGTACCACATACAACCAATGCCACTAGTACCCCATACAACCAATGCCACTAGTACCACATACAACCAATGCCACTAGTACCCCATACAACTACAACCAATGCCACTAGTACCCCATACAACCAATGCCACTAGTACCACATACAACCAATGCCACTAGTACCCTATACAACCAATGCCACTAGTACCACATACAACCAATGCCACTAGTACCACATACAACCAATGCCACTAGTACCACATACAACCAATGACACTAGTACCCCATACAACCAATGCCACTAGTACCACATACAACCAATGCCACTAGTACCACATACAACCAATGCCACTAGTACCCCATACAACCAATGCCACTAGTACCACATACAACCAATGCCACTAGTACCACATACAACCAATGCCACTAGTGCCCCATACAACCAATGCCACTAGTACCCCATACAACCAATGCCACTAGTACCACATACAACCAATGCCACTAGTACCACATACAACCAATGCCACTAGTACCCCATACAACCAATGCCACTAGTACCCCATACAACTACAACCAATGCCACTAGTACCACATACAACCAATGCCACTAGTACCACATACAACCAATGCCACTAGTACCCCATACAACCAATGCCACTAGTACCACATACAACCAATGCCACTAGTACCACATACAACCAATGCCACTAGTATCCCATACAACCAATGCCACTAGTACCACATACAACCAATGCCACTAGTACCACATACAACCAATGCCACTAGTACCCCATACAACCAATGCCACTAGTACCCCATACAACCAATGCCACTAGTACAACATACAACCAATGCCACTAGTACCACATACAACTAATGCCACTAGTACCCCATACAACTAATGCCACTAGTACCACATACAACTAATGCCACTAGTACCCCATACAACCAATGCCACTAGTACCACATACAACCAATGCCACTAGTACCCCATACAACCAATGCCACTAGTACCACATACAACCAATGCCACTAGTACCACATACAACCAATGCCACTAGTACCCCATACAATGCCACTAGTACCCCATACAACCAATGCCACTAGTACCACATACAACCAATGCCACTAGTACCCCATACAACTACAACCAATGCCACTAGTACCACATACAACCAATGCCACTAGTACCCCATACAACTACAACCAATGCCACTAGTACCCCATACAACCAATGCCACTAGTACCCCATACAACCAATGCCACTAGTACCACATACAACCAATGCCACTAGTACCCCATACAACCAATGCCACTAGTACCACATACAACCAATGCCACTAGTACCACATACAACCAATGCCACTAGTACCCCATACAACTACAACCAATGCCACTAGTACAGCATACAAACAATGCCACTAGTACCCCATACAACCAATGCCACTAGTACCCCATACAACCAATGACACTAGTACCACATACAACCAATGCCACTAGTACCACATACAACCAATGCCACTAGTACCACATACAACCAATGCCACTAGTACCCCATACAACCAATACCACTAGTACCACATACAACCAATGCCACTAGTGCCCCATACAACCAATGCCACTAGTACCCCATACAACCAATGCCACTAGTACCCCATACAACCAATGCCACTAGTACCCCATACAACCAATGCCACTAGTACCCCATACAACCAATGCCACTAGTACCACATACAACCAATGCCACTAGTACCCCATACAACCAATGCCACTAGTACCACATACAACCAATGCCACTAGTACCCCATACAACCAATGCCACTAGTACCACATACAACCAATGCCACTAGTACCCCATACAACCAATGCCACTAGTACCCGATACAACCAATGCCACTAGTACCCCATACAACCAATGCCACTAGTACCACATACAACCAATGCCACTAGTACCCCATACAACCAATGCCACTAGTACCACATACAACCAATGCCACTAGTACCACATACAACCAATGCCACTAGTACCCCATACAACCAATGCCACTAGTACCCCATACAACCAATGCCACTAGTACCACATACAACCAATGTCACTAGTACCACATACAACCAATGCCACTAGTACCCCATACAACCAATGCCACTAGTACCACATACAACCAATGCCACTAGTACCCCATACAACCAATGCCACTAGTACCCCATACAACCAATGCCACTAGTACTCCATACAACCAATGTCACTAGTACCACATACAACCAATGCCACTAGTACCACATACAACCAATGCCACTAGTACCACATACAACCAATGCCACTAGTACCCCATACAACCAATGCCACTAGTACCACATACAACCAATGCCACTAGTACCCCATACAACCAATGCCACTAGTACCCCATACAACCAATGCCACTAGTACCCCATACAACCAATGCCACTAGTACCCCATACAACTAATGCCACTAGTACCCCATACAACCAATGCCACTAGTACCACATACAACCAATGCCACTAGTACCCCATACAACCAATGCCACTAGTACCCCATACAACCAATGCCACTAGTACCACATACAACCAATGCCACTAGTACCCCATACAACCAATGCCACTAGTACCCCATACAACCAATGCCACTAGTACCCCATACAACTAATGCCACTAGTACCCCATACAACCAATGCCACTAGTACCCCATACAACCAATGCCACTAGTACCCCATACAACCAATGCCACTAGTACCCCATACAACCAATGCCACTAGTACCACATACAACCAATGCCACTAGTACCCCATACAACCAATGCCACTAGTACCCCATACAACTAATGCCACTAGTACCCCATACAACCAATGCCACTAGTACCACATACAACCAATGCCACTAGTACCCCATACAACCAATGCCACTAGTACCCCATACAACCAATGCCACTAGTACCCCATACAACCAATGCCACTAGTACCCCATACAACCAATGCCACTAGTACCCCATACAACCAATGCCACTAGTACCACATACAACTACAACCAATGCCACTAGTACCACATACAACCAATGCCACTAGTACCCCATACAACCAATGCCACTAGTACCCCATACAACCAATGCCACTAGTACCCCATACAACCAATGCCACTAGTACCCCATACAACCAATGCCACTAGTACCCCATACAACCAATGCCACTAGTACCACATACAACTACAACCAATGCCACTAGTACCACATACAACCAATGCCACTAGTACCCCATACAACCAATGCCACTAGTACCCCATACAACCAATGCCACTAGTACCCCATACAACCAATGCCACTAGTACCCCATACAACTAATGCCACTAGTACCCCATACAACCAATGCCACTAGTACCCCATACAACCAATGCCACTAGTACCCCATACAACCAATGCCACTAGTACAACATACAACCAATACAACTAATGCCACTAGTACCACATACAACTACAACCAATGCCACTAGTACCCCATACAACCAATGCCACTAGTACCCCATACAACCAATGCCACTAGTACCACATACAACCAATGCCACTAGTACCCCATACAACTACAAACAATGCCACTAGTACCCCATACAACCAATGCCACTAGTACCCCATACAACCAATGCCACTAGTACCACATACAACCAATGCCACTAGTACCCCATACAACCAATGCCACTAGTACCCCATACAACTAATGCCACTAGTACCCCATACAACCAATGCCACTAGTACCACATACAACCAATGCCACTAGTACCCCATACAACCAATGCCACTAGTACCCCATACAACCAATGCCACTAGTACCCCATACAACCAATGCCACTAGTACCCCATACAACCAATGCCACTAGTACCACATACAACCAATGCCACTAGTACCACATACAACCAATGCCACTAGTACCCCATACAACCAATGCCACTAGTACCCCATACAACCAATGCCACTAGTACCCCATACAACCAATGCCACTAGTACCACATACAACTACAACCAATGCCACTAGTACCCCATACAACCAATGCCACTAGTACCCCATACAATGCCACTAGTACCACATACAACCAATGCCACTAGTACCCCATACATCCAATGCCACTAGTACCACATACAACCAATGCCACTAGTACCCCATACAACCAATGCCACTAGTACCACATACAACCAATGCCACTAGTACCACATACAATGCCACTAGTACCCCATACAACCAATGCCACTAGTACCACATACAACCAATGCCACTAGTACCCCATACAACCAATGCCACTAGTACCACATACAACCAATGCCACTAGTACCACATACAACCAATGCCACTAGTACCCCATACAACCAATGCCACTAGTACCCCATACAACCAATGCCACTAGTACCCCATACAACCAATGCCACTAGTACCACATACAACCAATGCCACTAGTACCCCATACAACCAATGCCACTAGTACCCCATACAACCAATGCCACTAGTACCACATACAACTACAACCAATGCCACTAGTACCACATACAACCAATGCCACTAGTACCCCATACAACCAATGCCACTAGTACCCCATACAACCAATGCCACTAGTACCCCATACAACCAATGCCACTAGTACCCCATACAACCAATGCCACTAGTACCACATACAACCAATGCCACTAGTACCACATACAACCAATGCCACTAGTACCACATACAACCAGTGCCACTAGTACCACATACAACCAATGCCACTAGTACCCCATACAACCAATCCTGTGTCTCACATCTAATCAACGTTTTATTTTTCTACAGCCAGCAAGCGCAATAAGAGAAAGGGGGGCCGTGTGGGCAAGTCCAGAAAGACAAAAGGTAAGACGCCCCTTATCTGACTGACGCCCCTGTATGTCTGACTGACGCCCCTGTATGTCTGACAGACGCCCCTGTATGTCTGACAGACGCCCCTGTATGTCTGACAGACGCCCCTGTATAACAGACGCCCCTGCAGATGTCGGCCATAACGGCAGCAGATTAAAAAAACAAATGACCCCAACCGTTTAAAAAACAAATGACCACAACCGTTTAAAAAACAAATGACCACAACCGTTTAAAAAACAAATGACCACAACCGTTTAAAAAACAAATGACCACAACCGTTTAAAAAACAAATGACCACAACCGTTTAAAAAACAAATGACCACAACCGTTTAAAAAACAAATGACCACAACCGTTTAAAAAACAAACGACCACAACCGTTTAAAAAACAAACGACCACAACCGTTTAAAAAACAAATGACCACAACCGTTTAAAAAACAAATGGCCACAACCGTTTAAAAAACAAATGACCACAACCGTTTAAAAAACAAATGACCACAACCTATTAATGAACAAAGCGGCACCTGACATGCCCAGCTTCCATCACTTGTGCCAGCTTACCCCGGTTACCACGGCAACCAGAACACCCCCTTACCACCCACCTGAGGTTCGCACCTGCAGGTTGAAGATAACACACGTGATAACAATGCTTGCTCCTCGTGCCCGGCTGCTATAAATAGATGCGAGAAACGTGACGTACAGCGTGACACACACACACACACACATACACGCACACACACATACACACACGTAAACAACCACACACATACACACACGTAAACAAAAGTGTTGGGACGGGAAAATTTCGACACGCGTTGGATAAACGAATGACGTCATCTCCGGTTAACAGATAGAATTAAAACAAAATTTAATCTGGAAATATTTGTCAGCTGCACACGTCTAAGGTTATCTGTTGGGTTAGCCGTACCGTAGTAAAGCTCTAGACATCCCGATACTAAGCTTAACGTGTTCCTCCATTAGCCCGAGCGCAGAATAAACCAAACGTTGTTGGGCCTAGATCTAGAGGCTGCTCACATATGATGACGGCTAACCTTACCAATACTTCAGCTGTTGTTTTTTTCTCTTGTGAATTTGTCATCAAAGCCTCGCGATGCTAAAAATAACCATCCAATCAACCACTGTTTTATCTGACCAATCAGAAACTCTAATAGACACGTGAAACATAATCTGATAAGGATAGCCGTACCCAAATCCCTGAAACTGGCCAAAGTTATCCCTACCCTTGACATAATCCAACTAGACCTGAAAACCTTTACCTAAATCCTAACCTACGACACACACACACACACACACACACACACACAAAGACAAGGTATCTGACAAACACTTTATTGACTGATCCCTTTTGTCAGCGGTCCTATTGTTTTGTTATGCGTCAGGAGACAACAATGTATGCCAGTTCTATGTTAGTATATATATATATATATATATATATATATATATATATATATATATATATATATATATATATATATATATATATATATACATATATATATATATATATATATATATATATATATATATATATATATATATATATAGACGGAGTGTACCCCTGCCCTCACACCCCACATATACAGTGTGTGTGACTAAAGGAACGAATGCAACGATTTCTTGTTTTATTTGATGTGCTATTTGTTGTCTGGAGTTTGTGTGAAGACCCGATTCTATTTTTAACATTTCTCGTGTCGCAGAAGAGTGTGGACCCAAAGAGCGGCAACTCTTTAACACCGGCCTCATCAAAGTGTTCAAGGAGGAGTACGACAGGGTCAACCCCTCCCCTCCCCCCTCTAAAGGTAAGGTAACCGGATGTTACGTCACCAGGGCCGAAAGCCTTCTTTATGATGCACTGACATGACAATGTCATACATTTTGACAGGTTAGATCCAGTTAGACATAAACATTCAATGCTTGGCTTTAAGGTTAGGATTAGTGTTAAGATATTAGGGTTAGGATTTGTGTTAAGATATTAGGGTTAGGATTAGTGTTAAGATATTAGGGTTAGGTTTAGTGTTAAAATATTAGTGTTAGGATTAGTGTTAACATATTAGGCTTTGGATTAGTGTTAAGATATTCAACTTCATCAAAGGAAAAATGGGGTCGAGAAAATGGAAAACAATCATCGTTGAAATAATTTCTCGCTCGCAACCTGCACAGGTGCACGTAACCTGTCACAGTGCATTTAACCTGCCCAGGTGGACGTAACCTGCGCATGAGCCCAGGTGAATTTAACCTGTCATGGTGCATCTCAGGTGTATATAACCTGCATAGCAGCATATTACCTACCCAGGTGGACATAACCTACCCAGGTGCATCTAACTTGCCTAGGTGCATGAAAACCCACCCCACGATAGATCCCCCTCCCCGAGTCCCCCAACTTGTGTCCCCCCCCCCCCCACCCCACGATAGATCCCCCTCCCCGAGTCCCCCAACTTGTGTCCCCCCCCCCACCCCACGATAGATCCCCCTCCCCTTGTGCATCTTGCCTGACGTGTCTTGTGTCTCCCCCCCCCCACCCCACGATAGATCCCCCTCCCCTTTGCATCTTGCCTGACGTGTCTTGTGTCTCCCCCCCCCCCCCCACCCCACGATAGATCCCCCTCCCCTTTGCATCTTGCCTGACGTGTCTTGTGTCGCCCCCCCACCCCACGAAAGATCCCCCCTCCCCGAGCCCCCCAACTTGCCTGACGTGTCTTGTGTCTCCCCCCCCCCCCCCCACTTGAGCAGGCGGCCTGCAGGCGCCAGGGTTCGGCACAGAGAAGGCCGTGGTCCTGTGGAAGTTTGACGAGCTGGACGTCAACAAAGACGGCAAGCTCAAGTTCAAGGAGATCCGAAAGTTCAAGAAGATGGTCAAGAAGCTGATGAAGCCAAAGTTGTGTGCCAAAGACTTTCTAAATTTCTGTGATAAAAAAACGGCGCGGACCATCGATAGGAGCGACTGGACGCTGTGCCTGGGCGTCGATTTAAAATGTGAGTATCCCGGGAGTTATCTCCCCTGTTAGATAACGGTAGAGTTATGTCCCTTATTAAAGATCAGTTGAGTTACGTCCCTTAAAACTATGGGTTTGTTACATTTGGCTTCAAGCACTTCGATTCTTGTTTTAAATTTAGGATTTTAGTTTTGGTCAGTTCAGAGCGGTTAACCTCAAGTATACCATTTTTAATTTATTTTATTTCAAAAGAAAATCTTTACCTTCCAGTAGAAATAAAAAAAAATGTTATCAAATAAATCTGACAGATGATAACTTTTATCTTTGTACAACGCTTGAAAAAATTCCGATTTGATTTAATACAAAAGTTTAAGTGATAGTCTTATCAGTTATTAAAGAAAATAGTTTTTACATTTTCTAAAATAAAAAAATAAAAAAGTAGTGATTGTGATTATCACTAGGTGATGATTGAAGAACAAGTGGCTGCGATTGTTGATTGATTGATTGTATGATTGAACTTCTGAATAATACGTGGAGAGGTTGCAGAGTGTTTGTGTGATGTGTGATGTGTGATTGTGTGATGCGTGATTGTGTGATGTGTGATTGTGTGTATGCGTGGATATGTGTATACGTGGATGTGTGTATGTGTGTATGTTCTGATGTACCATGCCGCTGGGTAACCGGAAGTATATCCAGGGCCATGCTACATCCGGGTCTTCTGTTCCTGCAACCACTGCTGTCACGTGACACCAATTAGCCACATCAACCCACACGTGATCAACATGTTGACCACGTGACAACAGTCACGTGGTTTCTAGACTACAGATGTGAGAAATCTTTTGATACGATTGGAAGTTGTCCAATATCTTGACAGCTGAAACCGAAGCTGTTGGTACAGAGTTGTTGATTGGTTGAAATAATTTCAAACCACTGGCACTTGTGTGCATCTAAGTGAGCTGCATCGACATCATAATAACCTTCACCATCACCATCGACATCGACATCAACATCGACATCATAATCACCATCACCATCAACATCGACATCACCATCAACATCACCATCACCATCGACATCGACTTCACCATCAACATCACCATCAACATCAACATCGACATCATTATCACCATCAACATCACCATCAACATCACCATCAACATCGACATCGACATCATTATCACCATCAACATCGACATCAACATTAGCATCAGCATCAACAACATCAACATCAACATCAACATCAACTTCAACTTCAACTTCAACAACATCAGCATTAGCATCAACATCGACATCAACATTAGCATCAGCATCAACAACATCTACATCAACTTCAACTTCAACTTCCACATCAGCATTAGCATCAACATCGACATCGACATCAACATTAGCATCAGCATCAGCATTAGCACCATCATCATTAGCAACACCAGCATTAGCAACACCAGCATTAACCACATCAGCATTAACACCATCAGCATTAGCAACATCAGCATTAACAACATCAACATTAACAACATCAACATTAACAACATCAACATTAACACCATCAGCATTAGCAGCATTAACATCAACAGATGGCGAGATCACCAACATCACATTTCAAGTATTTAACTCTACTTCACCATGTCACTGCCTAGTTCTACTCACCATTCTTTAGTGATGAGGGTCCCAGTGACAGACCTACTTGTCATGACAGTGACAGACCTACTTGTCATGACAGTGACAGACCCCAGCTGTCATGACAGTGACGTCTTGTTATTGACACGAAAAGTGTTGAGTATGAAAATGACGTACACATCCAGCAGCTCCAAACGTCAACCAAGACACGTCATCACCCCAGAGAGCGGGTTCAAGACCCTCTGGGACTAGTACAGCCATCGGATGTTGTCAGCTCAAAACTTGACGTCATTCACGTCAGACGTTTGACGTTCATTTAAGCTGAGTTTGATTAGTGACCTCGGTTGATTCGACTCAAAGAAATGTTTTTAAAAAGATGGGTACTCAATAGAGCTGAGTGGACTCTATAACAAATAAAAAAATGGTGGCTATCTGTTGACACGTGGCAGCGTTAGACTCAGGAACAGTAGATCTGATTTAGTTGTTAGTTAAAGATCTGTGTCATAAAAATATCGACTAAAATCAATCGATTAATCATCGATGATTTTTTTCTCAATTTATTTTTGTCACACAAGTTCTTTACGTAGGGACAATCAAAGCAATAAAACTTTACTAACCCCAGTCCTGTCATCATCATGTCATCCTTATGTCATCCTCATGTCATCCTCATGTCATCCTCATGTCATGTCATTCTTATTCCATCCTCATGTCTGCTTCCTGTCACGTTCATGTCTTCCTCATGTCATCCTCATGTCATGTCATCCTCATGTCGTGTCATCCTCATGTCATCTCGTATCATCCTCATGTCATCCTCATGTCTTATTCATGTCATGTCATCCTCATGTCATGTCATCCTTATGTCATCTCGTATCATCCCCATGTCATCCTCATGTCATCCTCATGTCATCCTCATGTCTTATTCATGTCATGTCATCCTCATGTCATGTCATCCTCATGTCATCTCGTATCATCCTCATGTCATCCTCATGTCTTCCTCATGTCTTCCTCATGTCTTCCTCATGTCATTTCATCCTCGTGCCATCCTCATGTCATGTCATCCTCATGTCATCTCAATGTAATCAACATGTCATGTCACCATCACCATCCCCCGATGATCACCATTCTTCGTTATCAAGTCATCTCCCACCCATCACCACCATCAATCATAATCATCACCATCACCACCCCTATCACCAACCCCATCACCAACCATCATCACCACCACCATCCCCCATCATCACCCCTCACCATCACCACCATCATCACCGACATCACCACCATCACCCCCATCACCATCACCCCCCCCCCCCTGTACTAACGTCGTACCACGGGACCGTGCAATACCTAAGCGCCACAAGAACCGTGGCATTGACCCGCCTAAAATTGATAGTGTCTTTTCACATGTTCCTATCTATGAACTCAGCTAGTCACGTCACGAGCACCAGCAAACCTAGCCATGTGCCCAGAGAGGGTGAGTACACCAGCATGCATGTCACTAAAGAGTCAAGCCTGTCTCACGGACTAACGTGTTTTGATCAGACACATGCAGTGCCGGATTACTTACAGGGCTAATGAGGCAAGACCCCAGGGCCCAATATTTAAAACCAGGGCACATTTAATGAAACTATAGCCCCAGGTTGCAATTTATTTTTACCGTACTTTGTCGGTACCCCCATTTCTATTAGCGTAATGATTTACAATTTTAGACTGATTTTAGATTTTAGCCCTAGGCCTTCCACTGTTTTTATCCGGCACTGCTCGTTAGATCAACTATATTATGTCAGAGGATATATAATCTCCACTTTCTAAAAATGGGCCAAGAAAATAAAGATCTTGATTGCAGTGATCCAGGAACCCCCCCCCCCCCCCAAAAAAAAAAAAAACAACCAACAAAATAAGATTTTACTTTCTATGATTAGCCTCTGGTCACAAGCCACTCAATTCTCTTTGTTTTCCTGGCACCATTGCAGAGTTTGGTTTTCTTTATTCTTGATGTGTGGCCTGTTTGTTTGTAGTGTGGCCAGTTTGATGTGTGGTCAGTTTGATGTGTGGCCTGTTTGTCGTGTGGCCAGTTTGTCGTGTGTTCAGTTTGTCGTGTGGCCAGTTTGATGTGTGGTCAGTTTGTCGTGTTGTCTGTCGTGTGGTCTGTTTGTCGTGTGGTCAGTTTGTCGTGTGGCCAGTTTGTCGTGTGGTCAGTTTGTCGTGTGGTCAGTTTGTCGTGTGTTCAGTTTGTCGTGTGGCCAGTTTGTCGTGTGGTCAGTTTGTCGTGTGGTCAGTTTGTCGTGTGGTCAATTTGTCGTGTGGTCAGTTTGTCGTGTGGTCAGTTTGTCGTGTGGTCAGTTTGTCGTGCGGCCTGTTTGTCGTGTGGTCAGTTTGTCGTGTGGTCAATTTGTCGTGTGGTCAATTTGTCGTGCGGCCAGTTTGTCGTGCGGCCTGTTTGTCGTGTGGTCAGTTTGTCGTGTGGTCAGTTTGTCGTGTGGTCAGTTTGTCGTGTGGTCAGTTTGTCGTTTGGTCAGTTTTATCGTGTGGCCAGTTTGTCGTGTGGTCAGTTTGTCGTGTGGTCAGTTTGTCGTGTGGTCAGTTTGTCGTGTGGTCAGTTTGTCGTGTGGTCAGTTTGTCGTATTGCCTGTCGTGTTAGTTAAATGTTTCTGCCAATTTTAGGCCTATTTATTATTTCTGTTGGGTGTATTTATTGTATTGTACAAATTGTACGTTTATATTGTATGTACAAATTGTATATATGTATTGTATGTACATATTGTATGTACATATTGTATGTACAAATTGTATCTATGTATTGTATGTATGTATTGTATGTTGTGTGCACAGTTAACCACATGCATTTGTCTGAGGTGTGTATATAGATGTGTACACATACTAACGCGTCCTTTACGATTTTAGTTACAGACTTTTAAGCTATTAAATGCAGTACTGAAAAAAATATTTGACCTAATTTCAAATCCTGATTCACATCTGAGTTTAACGATTGAAGAATATTCACATTTTTATTCCATTTTTTTGTTTTAAGTTTTAAAATTTAAATTTAAACGGACCAATCATCGTTCTTGTTACTGTTGAGTGTTGGGAATGTGTTTTGTGATTTTATCTGCATGTGATTCTTATTTACATATTTAACCAGTAATATCTGTGTGGAAGATCTTTGTGCAGATCATTCATCTAACCTAGTGTGTATATGTCAGTATATGATCTTTTTAAAGATCCTTACTATTTTTAATTTTGATTCACCAAAATTTTCGACAAGTTTTCAGATAAATTTATCAATAACAAAATTCTTTAAATGAGACATAACTTTCATTGAAGTCGTAAACCATTATCTTATCTATACTATTATTATCTACTTTGATAACTAATTAATAAATTGTTAAAAGATCAAACTTTTCAGAGGAAAAAAAAAGAGTTTTTAGTAATTGTTAGTAATTGATCATTAAAAAAAAATCCCTGGCTTAACACACTAATGCAGGCTCTCTGATTTAGTGACTGACCCAAGTCCAGTGGTCACCTGAACATTGTAACCCCCTCCCCCATAACTTAACCTGTGGGGTGGTCAACAATCTATAACACTCGCTGTACCCAAGGAACCTCAGGTCCCCATACCCTCCCACCCCCCCCCCCATTTCAGACCTCAGTTGGGAATTCTCCTTGTCATGGGAGTGGTGAAAAGAAGTGTGTGTGTGTGTGTGCTGGGGGGGGGGGTAAGGTAGATTACAGAACAGGGAGCAAGGGTCGTGACGTGTACACCACCTTCCCACAGTACGGCAGACCAAACGACAGGAAGATTTAATTAAAAACATGGGGGCATGGAATATGTCTGGGTAGGTCACCATGACCCAGGTGTTGCCAGATACCTGGCCTCAATTCTGATCTGTTTTAGGGAGAAACACCTGTATAGCTGTATATACCTGTATACACCTGTCTGCCTGTATACACCTGTCTGCCTGTATACAGCTGTCTACCGTTTATACAGCTGCACATAGATGATCTGGTCACAAAGCTTTATAAAATTTTATATATATATATATATATATATATATATATATATATATATATATATATATATATATATATATATATATATATATATATATATATATATATATATATATATATATATATATATATATATATATATATATATATGTGTATATATATATATATATATATATATATATATATATATATATATATATATATATATATATATATATATATATATATATATATATCAACTGAAAACTATTCTAAATAATTAAATCTGGGGTGTAGTGATATGGATTGTAGAGAAAATTCCCCCCCCCCCCAAACCCAACGACCGCCAATGACAGTCCTGCTAGTCAAAACGTTTTGACGTTTCGCGGTCTCCTGGGATCAGGGCCGGGGCGCCGCAAGGATCGCACGCTGGCCGTTAGGTGGCATTTTACAAGTGAATGGAGAATCTGAGGGGGGGGGGGGGGGAGCGACGACAAATTGCGTCCCTTGTCACAGGGGACACCACCATACCACGCGTGACTGACGACAGTCGAGGCGTGACATTGATGGCGATATGTGTGTCGTCACGGCCATCCGTGTGTGCGTGTGTGGGTGTGGTGTCGTCACGTTGTTTGTCTAGGTACAAAGGTAGATCTAGCTAGGTGTCTTCTGAGTCAATAGTTGCACTCAATATTATCAGCACAAATATGTCCCCCTCACTGTTTTAACCTATTGATACAACTGTACTCATGTGTTTCTTTTTGTTCTGCACTATTTTGCCATTCATATATATATATATATATATATATATATATATATATATATATATATATATATATATATACAAAATTTACTTCAGGATATTTCTAAACTACAGATAGGTCAATAAGTTATCTCCCCGTTCATGTCTACACTCGCGGGATGACGTAATGTTTTCTAATTGTTACCTTTCCACCTGATCCCAGATACCATCAAGGTGCCGTTACCGCCATCGTTTGTGGCCACCCATATGGCCACTTTGAACAGCGGGCCATCATCCAACAGCTTGGCCAACAGACATGAGAAAAAAGGTGAGAAAATAATCATTTTTAGAGACCATGAGAAAAAAGGTGAGAAAAAAATCATTTTTAGAGACCATGAGAAAAAAGGTGAGAAAAAAATCATTTTTAGAGACCATGAGAAAAAAGGTGAGAAAATAATCATTTTTAGAGACCATGAGAAAAAAGGTGAGAAAAAAATCATTTTTAGAGACCATGAGAAAAAAGGTGAGAAAAAAATCATTTTTAGAGACCATGAGAAAAAAGGTGAGAAAATAATCATTTTTAGAGACCATGAGAAAAAAGGTGAGAAAAAAATCATTTTTAGAGACCATGAGAAAAAAGGTGAGAAAATAATCATTTTTAGAGACCATGAGAAAAAAGGTGAGAAAAAAATCATTTTTAGAGACCATGAGAAAAAAGGTGAGAAAAAAATCATTTTTAGAGACCATGAGAAAAAAGGTGAGAAAAAAATCATTTTTAGAGACCATGAGAAAAAAGGTGAGAAAAAAATCATTTTTAGAGACCATGAGAAAAAAGGTGAGAAAAAAATCATTTTTAGAGACCATGAGAAAAAAGGTGAAAAAAAAATCATTTTTAGAGATCATGAGAAAAAAGGTGAGAAAAAAATCATTTTTAGAGACCATGAGAAAAAAGGTGAGAAAAAAAATCATTTTTAGAGACCATGAGAAAAAAGGTGAGAAAAAAAATCATTTTTAGAGACCATGAGAAAAAAGGTGAGAAAAAAAATCATTTTTAGAGACCATGAGAAAAAAGGTGAGAAAAAAAATCATTTTTAGAGACCATGAGAAAAAAGGTGAGAAAAAAATCATTTTTAGAGACCATGAGAAAAAAGGTGAAAAAAAAATCATTTTTAGAGATCATGAGAAAAAAGGTGAGAAAAAAATCATTTTTAGAGACCATGAGAAAAAAGGTGAGAAAAAAAATCATTTTTAGAGACCATGAGAAAAAAGGTGAGAAAAAAAATCATTTTTAGAGACCATGAGAAAAAAGGTGAGAAAAAAAATCATTTTTAGAGACCATGAGAAAAAAGGTGAGAAAAAAAATCATTTTTAGAGACCATGAGAAAAAAGGTGAGAAAAAAATCATTTTTAGAGACCATGAGAAAAAAGGTGAAAAAAAAATCATTTTTAGAGATCATGAGAAAAAAGGTGAGAAAAAAATCATTTTTAGAGACCATGAGAAAAAAGGTGAGAAAAAAAATCATTTTTAGAGACCATGAGAAAAAAGGTGAGAAAAAAAATCATTTTTAGAGACCATGAGAAAAAAGGTGAGAAAAAAAATCATTTTTAGAGACCATGAGAAAAAAGGTGAGAAAAAAAAATCATTTTTAGAGACCATGAGAAAAAAGGTGAGAAAAAAAATCATTTTTAGAGACCATGAGAAAAAAGGTGAGAAAAAAAATCATTTTTAGAGACCATGAGAAAAAAGGTGAGAAAAAAAATCATTTTTAGAGACCATGAGAAAAAAGGTGAGAAAAAAAATCATTTTTAGAGACCATGAGAAAAAAGGTGAGAAAAAAAATCATTTTTAGAGACCATGAGAAAAAAGGTGAGAAAAAAAATCATTTTTAGAGACCATGAGAAAAAAGGTGAGAAAAAAAATCATTTTTAGAGACCATGAGAAAAAAGGTGAGAAAAAAAATCATTTTTAGAGACCATGAGAAAAAAGGTGAGAAAAAAAATCATTTTTAGAGACCATGAGAAAAAAGGTGAGAAAAAAAATCATGTTTAGAGACCATGAGAATACCCTGAGTCCGGGGGCTCAAGTCACCTCCCCACGCTGGGACTGACCGGCTTCATAGAACCTCCACACGTCTTCTTCTTTGCTAACAATCAAAGAAAGGTAACCCAGTTTAATTCATCCAGCGCTGTATTTTCATGAGTCGCTTCCCTTTGACCGTAAAACTCATGCCGCTTGCCAAGCCTTAGACTACAGAATATTTTATTGATGGCCAAAGTATTTGTGTATTTTTATATGCGTATATTGTGTTTCTATGTTGTCTATATAAATGTTTGTGAATGTTTAATTATTTGTTGTGTAACCATGTTTGATGGTAGCATCTTCCAAATCTGGTATGTTTATATGTGTGTTAATCGGTATGTCGCCTTTGATATTCTGTAAACATAGTGTTGTCTTTTCCCCCCTCTATCATATTTCTGCAAGCTATCTCTGCTAATCCGACTCTTTGACTCCCTTATCCGTAGGATCTGACTTCCTAAATCTTATTAGGGCGTTTTTTTTTCTCTGACTCCTTGACTCCCATATGTGTGTTATGTCTGTGCACCTGACTCCCTGACTCCTATATGTGTGTTATGTCTGTGACTCCCTGACTCACTGACTCTCATATGTGTGTTTAGTCTGTGACCTTGACTCCCATGTGTGTTATATCTATGACTCTGATTCCCTGACTCCCATGTTCCAGAGACCAGCCAGAACTGCCTGGAGGAGCGCGAGTCAGCCATGAACGACAACTCTCAGGAGCCCAATGCCAAGTACTACATCCCATCCTGCACGCCATCAGGACACTGGGAGAAGGCTCAGTGCCACCACAACGGCTACTGCTGGTGTGTCTCGGTACGTTGTCATGGCAACATCCACCTACACCCACACCACGTGCTAGACATGACGTCATTGTCTCATGTGTCGTCACGTCTACCGTTTTAACCAGCTAGATGCCGTATGTCCACACGTCTACCATTTACCTTTCAGGAAAGTACAGGTGAACCTATCCCAGGTACCGCCACATTCAACGTCACACCTAGCTGCACCTTTGAGAACGAGAGAGAATTGAAAGGTCAGTTGGGCAGTACACAGGTGCTCTGGCTATACATGGACAATCAGGCATGCACACGTATACATGTACATAATATATACATACATGTTTACAAATATACATATTCATTTCAACACACACATAATACGTCCATGTATATACAATTCACACACATACACACATTATATATATATATATATATATATATATATATATATATATATATATATATATATATATATATATATATATATATATATATATGCACATGGAAACAAAATGTGTACGTGCCCACTACCAGGCTGCCCCCTAGAACACAAGAGAAAATTTCTCATTGATCTAATGGCTGACCTGACGGAGGAGAGGAAGAAATCCTTATTAGAGGGAGACAACCACAACAAGTAATTGGATTTTAATGCCTAATTAATCAAGTTTTAATGCAAGGCCTAATTAATTGAGTTGTTTTGTCCACTAGGAGAGATTCAGTTTTGTTCAATCTAATTATGTTTTATCTACGTCATTAATTTATATTTTAATATTAGCAAAAACTTATGGATCTGATAGAAGTCGCCATTGTTTGTTTATATTATTATATTCATGCATGGCTCAGGGCGGGTCTCACAACGTTATTGTGTACCCCGTCGTATTGGCTGGGGGGTCTAGCAGCACTGATTGTCGCACCTGTATGGTCAATAGTACTGATTGTCGCACCTGTCTTGGATGGCTTAAGGCTGGAGATGTTGATTTCATTGGGGAGGGGTGGGGGTGGAGATGGGCTAGGGTAGGGTAGGAGAGTTACTAGGTAAAGCATGATGCAATATCCAAGTAACAACGATAATGACGACAAGGACGGTGAAACAATGTGTGTGTGTGTGGGGGGGGGGGGGGGGGGGAGTTGTCTACAAGCCATGTCCGCACTGCTGTAAGGTTGTGTACATTGTTGTGTACATTGTTAGCTACATTCTGTCATTTAGTCTGTGACGTCATCTGTCATGTCATCTGTCATGTCATCTGTCACGTCATCTGTCATGTCATCTGTCATGTCATCTGCCATGTCATCTGTCATGTCATCTGTCATGTCATCTGTCATGTCATCTGTCATGTCATCTGTCATGCCATCTGTCATCTGTCAAGTCATCTGTCATGTCATCTGTCATGTCATCTGTCAAGTCATCTGTCATGCCATCTGTCATGTCAACTGTCACCTGTCAAGTCATCTGTCATCTGTCATGTCATCTGTCAAGTCATCTGTCAAGTCATCTGTCAAGTCATCTGTCATGCCCTCTGTCATGTCAACTGTCACCTGTCAAGTCATCTGTCATCTGTCATGTCATCTGTCATCTGTCATGTCATCTGTCAAGTCATCTGTCATGTCATCTGTCATCTGTCCCCTCCCCCCACAGCACTAACCCTACAGAAACCCTCGCCCAGCGTGAAACAGTTGCCAGATGGAAGTTAAAAAATCTGGACAAAAACAATAACGGGGTAAGGCGACCACTTCCTGTTTGGTGTGTGGGGGTGTGGGGGTGTGTGGGGTGTGTGTTGGTGTGAGGGTGTGAGGGTGTGTGGGTGGGTGGTGTTTGGGATGTGGGTGAGGGTGGTAACTAAATTAAAGTAAGTTTTCTCATATATTTTAACGTGCCCACTCGAATGAATGAGTATAAAACATTTTAATTTGACAAGGGGGATAATCAATAGATAATTTGTTTGCCCAGATATTGGAGAGAAAGGAGTGGCGGCCCTTTAGGAAGACGACACTAAAAAACAAGAGTTATCCCCGCAAGTGCCGCAGGAGTTTTCTCCGCTACTGTGATGAGGACAACAACAAGAAAATTACCTTCGAGGAATGGAAGGATTGTCTGGGCTTAAATCGTAAGTCTGTTGTCTGGGCTTAAATCGTAAGTCCGTTGTCTGGGCTTAAATCGTAAGTCTGTCATGATTGTCTGGGCTTAAATCGTAAGTCTGTCATGATTGTCTGGGCTTAAATCGTAAGTCTGTCATGATTGTCTGGGCTTAAATCGTAAGTCTGTCATGATTGTCTGGGCTTAAATCGTAAGTCTGTCATGATTGTCTGGGCTTAAATCGTAAGTCTGTTGTCTGGGCTTAAATCGTAAGTCTGTCATGATTGTCTGGGCTTAAATCGTAAGTCTGTCATAATTGTCTGGGCTTAAATCGTAAGTCTGTTGTCTGGGCTTAAATCGTAAGTCTGTCATAATTGTCTGGGCTTAAATCGTAAGTCTGTCATAATTGTCTGGGCTTAAATCGTAAGTCTGTCATGATTGTCTGGGCTTAAATCGTAAGTCTGTCATAATTGTCTGGGCTTAAATCGTAAGTCTGTCATGATTGTCTGGGCTTAAATCGTAAGTCTGTCATGATTGTCTGGGCTTAAATCGTAAGTCTGTTGTCTGGGCTTAAATCGTAAGTCTGTCATGATTGTCTGGGCTTAAATCGTAAGTCTGTCATAATTGTCTGGGCTTAAATCGTAAGTCTGTTGTCTGGGCTTAAATCGTAAGTCTGTCATAATTGTCTGGGCTTAAATCGTAAGTCTGTCATAATTGTCTGGGCTTAAATCGTAAGTCTGTCATGATTGTCTGGGCTTAAATCGTAAGTCTGTCATAATTGTCTGGGCTTAAATCGTAAGTCTGTCGTGATTGTCTGGGATAATTTTAGGCTGCTGTTACGTCATTTGTGAAAAATGAGAGCAAAATGTGCTAAACACGTGACACAAGAAAAAGCTTTAATAAAAAACTTGCAATTATGTAAGAGCGAAATCTCTGCCAAAGACACGAATGAATTTGAGATTAAAATACCGCCACGCATCAATGATTTTGTTGTTTCAGAATTCCAGTTTAACAGCCTACCCATCAACCCAAAACGGAGCGGAAAAAATCCTTTTAGTGAGTTTTGTTTTCCTCTTCAATCCTTTTATTGAGTTTTGTTTTCCTCTTCAATCACCTTCTTTGTTTTAAATCTGAACGACTCGAGTTGTTATTGTGAGTTCTTTCATCAAAGAATACAACTACCAGTTCTTTCAACTTTCAACTTTATTTACATTAATAAAATAGTTCCACAAGAAATAATGATGAAAAATCCATTGTAGAATAAAGGCAATCAAAGTACAATCTAGAAAACAAAGTGACGTGGTGACAGCTTACATTCTTCTATACAGGCACTATACAGGCACTATACAGGCACTATACAGGCACTATACAGGCACACTTAGTCCACCTTACTCTCCCCTTTTATATCCTTCATTCTCTCCCTTAACGCCAGTGAGCGATCGAACAAAAAAGCATCGAAAAATATGACGAGTCGCTCACAAAGTCCTTCCGTTGGCCAGGTACTCTACATTCATACAAGTTCATGCTAAATACAATATAAATAAACAATACCCAAACTACAGTCTGTACAAATCCAACTCAGCTTCTCTCTGCACACACAACGTGGGAACCACTGACAAATGGCTGGAACAATCTAGAACAAAAATCTTCGGGTGGCCCCAACTAAGCCGTATTAAGTTAATCCGATTAAGATAATCCGATTAAGATAAGCTGAGGTTTAAACAAAAACGGCCGAGATAATTTCAGAGAAAAAAAAACAACGGCCAACAGGAGAATACACGGAGAAAATGGCTTCATTTAAACAGGCACATGGACGCATTGATCCAAATACAGTTTAAAAACTAATCAATGTAATCACAGATGTAATCAATATCTTTGTTTTATCCAACCATATAGTGACCGTACTATTCATTCATTGGCCGCACTTCTGGCTCTGACAGTAATATATATATATATATATATATATATATATATATATATATATATATATATATATATATATATATATATATATATATATATATATATATATATATACATATATATATATATATATATATATATATATATATATATATATATATATATATATATATATATATATATATATATATATATATCGCAATTTGATTATTATTGTAGCAGTACATTAACTGCATCCTCCACCAATCACCCCCCCCCCTTAAATCCAGATTCCACCCACACAACCGAACTTAACCCTTACCATGACATGACTCACCATGACACCATTGCTGTCCTAACACTAAAATACGCCTTTTTCATGCCAACCTAACAAACCACGCCTATTTTTATGCTCGCCTGAATAACCCCGCCCACATTTATGCTAATCTGTACACCGTCTCCGCCCACGTAGATATATTAAAGTACCTGAAGAGTGACGACACATCCAGATAGACACTGAGGCATTCTGGGAGCGGCAGAGACATCCGGTCAACGTTGTCTTGTGTTGAATTGTGCTGTGTTGTATCATGTTGCGTTGTGGTATATTGTGTTGTGTTGCGCTGTGTTTTGTTGTGCCATCGAACCCTACAGCTAGCACCAGTGAACCCTACAGCTAGCACCAGTGAACCCTACAGCTAGCACCAGTGAACCCTACAGCAAAAACCAATGAACCCTACAGCTAGCACCAGTGAACCCTACAGCTAGCACAAGTGAACCATACAGCTAGCACCAGTGAACCCTACAGCTAGCACCAGTGAACCCTACAGCTAGCACCAGTGAACCTTACAGCTAGCAACAGTGAACCCTACAGCTAGCACCAGTGAACCCTACAGCTAGCACCAGTGAACCCTACAGCTAGCACCATCAAACCCTACAGCTAGCACCAGTGAACCCTACAGCTAGCACAAGTGAACCATACAGCTAGCACCAGTGAACCCTACAGCTAGCACCATCAAACCCTACAGCTAGCACCAGTGAACCTTACAGCTAGCAACAGTGAACCCTACAGCTAGCACCAGTGAACCCTACAGCTAGCACCAGTGAACCCTACAGCTAGCACCATCAAACCCTACAGCTAGCACCAGTGAACCCTACAGCTAGCACCAGTGAACCCTACAGCTAGCCCCAGTGAACCCTACAGCTAGCACCAGTGAACCCTACAGCTAGCCCCAGTGAACCCTACAGCTAGCACCAGTGAACCCTACAGCTAGCCCCAGTGAACCCTACAGCTAGCACCAGTGAACCCTACAGCTAGCACCAGTGAACCCTACAGCCATACAGCATACTTGCACATCAACATACTGAAGCAACACAGAAGGAATGTAAATACCTTCTGAAAGTATGTCAGTATAGACGCCATTGACTTACAAGGGAAACAACTGCTAATGGATTTAGACGTTTCCTATCCATTCATGAATTGTTGCCGTAAAATCCAACCATCGGCTTGGAATTTAACTCTCAGCTATTAGCTGTTAGTTGTAGAATCTGACCTTCACATACATTGTATGTAATTATACACCTGTAAATAATGTATGTCTCACACAGCTTGTATTTCCCGATGGATGCTGTATTTGCTTGTTCCACGCCTGTGCCATATTACCCTATGGAATTCTAATTAATTTCCCCTTCTATATTCACCTCGAAAAAAAAACAATATTTGTATCTGGTTTTGTGTAAATAAACAGATACCCCTTGGATCCATCCTTCCTAGAGTTATTCGCATGAACATCCCCGAGACTACCCCCACCCCCACCCCTATACATCCCCAAGACCTACCCCCCCCCCCCCCCCCCCAGCACACTACCATATCTGTCTCTGACTGACTGGATCGAATCCCATTTGTTAGCAGTCGGTGTCCAGTTGCTCTAGGTTCGAATCCCTACAGAACTACAAGCTTCCACCAAACTGACTTCATACATCATCTTACCTACCAACATCCCTTACCACCAATCGTCGGATGGCTCATTTTCTTCCAGTGTCACCACTTGTCACCATTAGTAATAGCGTGGTGCAGTGTATCACCATTTGCCTCCTGGCTTTTGTGTTATATTGTCGTACAATGTCACCGCACATCACGATATTCATCTTGTGTCACCACACATCACGATATCCATCTTGTGTCACCACACATCACGATATCCATCATGTGTCACCCCACTGTCCCACCATGTCTCACCACTCAAACAATGCATGTCACCAATCAATCCCTATCATCACATGTTCAGCCAATTCAATTAAAACAAATCTGAAGAAATCACGCATCGAGAATTCCAATTAACTTTAATTAAACACAAACAATCTTTTGTCGCTAATATTTTATGGATAATTACTTTAATTTAGGTCAGCGAAAAAATAAATATTTATTTTACCGGAAAAATAAACTCCAAAGTAAAATGTCAGGTTTTATTTTCTTTCGCCTCTAGAACAATGAGTCGATATCTGTGACAAGAAATATGACAACAAAACTAAAACCAATATATCTGTGACAAGAAATATGACAACAAAACTAAAACCAAGATATCTGTGACAAGAAATATGACAACAAAACTAAAACCAATATATCTGTGACAAGAAATATGACAACAAAACTAAAACCAATATATCTGTGACAAGAAATATGGCAACAAAACTAAAACCAATATATCTGTGACAAGAAATATGACAACAAAACTAAAACCAATATATCTGTGACAAGAAATATGACAACAAAACTAAAACCAATATATCTGTGACAAGAAATATGACAACAAAACTAAAACCAAGATATCTGTGACAAGAAATATGACAACAAAACTAAAACCAATATATCTGTGACAAGAAATATGACAACAAAACTAAAACCAATATATCTGTGACAAGAAATATGACAACAAAACTAAACCCAAGATATCTGTGACAAGAAATATGACAACAAAACTAAAACCAATATATCTGTGACAAGAAATATGACAACAAAACTAAAACCAAGATATCTGTGACAAGAAATATGACAACAAAACTAAAACCAAGATATCTGTGACAAGAAATATGACAACAAAACTAAAACCAATATATCTGTGACAAGAAATATGACAACAAAACTAAAACCAAGATATCTGTGACAAGAAATATGACAACAAAACTAAAACCAATATATCTGTGACAAGAAATATGACAACAAAACTAAAACCAATATATCTGTGACAAGAAATATGACACCAAAACTAAAACCAATATATCTGTGACAAGAAATATGACAACAAAACTAAAACCAATATATCTGTGACAAGAAATATGACAACAAAACTAAAACCAATATATCTGTGACAAGAAATATGACAACAAAACTAAAACCAATATATCTGTGACAAGAAATATGACAACAAAACTAAAACCAATATATCTGTGACAAGAAATATGACAACAAAACTAAAACCAATATATCTGTGACAAGAAATATGACAACAAAACTAAAACCAATATATCTGTGACAAGAAATATGGCAACAAAACTAAAACCAATATATCTGTGACAAGAAATATGACAACAAAACTAAAACCAATATATCTGTGACAAGAAATATGACAACAAAACTAAAACCAATATATCTGTGACAAGAAATATGACAACAAAACTAAAACCAATATATCTGTGACAAGAAATATGACAACAAAACTAAAACCAATATATCTGTGACAAGAAATATGACAACAAAACTAAAACCAATATATCTGTGACAAGAAATATGACAACAAAACTAAAACCAATATATCTGTGACAAGAAATATGACAACAAAACTAAAACCAATATATCTGTGACAAGAAATATGACAACAAAACTAAAACCAATATATCTGTGACAAGAAATATGGCAACAAAACTAAAACCAATATATCTGTGACAAGAAATATGACAACAAAACTAAAACCAATATATCTGTGACAAGAAATATGACAACAAAACTAAAACCAATATATCTGTGACAAGAAATATGACAACAAAACTAAAACCAATATATCTGTGACAAGAAATATGACAACAAAACTAAAACCAATATATCTGTGACAAGAAATATGGCAACAAAACTAAAACCAATATATCTGTGACAAGAAATATGACAACAAAACTAAAACCAATATATCTGTGACAAGAAATATGACAACAAAACTAAAACCAATATATCTGTGACAAGAAATATGACAACAAAACTAAAACCAATATATCTGTGACAAGAAATATGGCAACAAAACTAAAACCAATATATCTGTGACAAGAAATATGACAACAAAACTAAACCCAAGATATCTGTGACAAGAAATATGACAACAAAACTAAAACCAATATATCTGTGACAAGAAATATGACAACAAAACTAAAACCAAGATATCTGTGACAAGAAATATGACAACAAAACTAAAACCAAGATATCTGTGACAAGAAATATGACAACAAAACTAAAACCAATATATCTGTGACAAGAAATATGACAACAAAACTAAAACCAATATATCTGTGACAAGAAATATGACAACAAAACTAAAACCAATATATCTGTGACAAGAAATATGACAACAAAACTAAAACCAATATATCTGTGACAAGAAATATGACAACAAAACTAAAACCAATATTTAAGACCAGTCAGGGACGACCCCTTCACCATCTTTACAATTCTCTCTCACCATCTTACAGATAGCAGCATGCGACTTCCATCCTTTATAGACACCAGTATGCGACCCCCGTCCTTTATAAACACCAGTATGCGACCCCCATCCCTTATAGACACCAGTATACGACCCCCATCCTTTATAGACACCAGTATGCGACCCCCGTCCTTTATAAACACCAGTATGCGACCCCCGTCCTTTATAAACACCAGTATGCGACCCCCGTCCTTTATAGACACCAGTATGCGACCACCCCCCATTCTTTATAGACCCCCAATGTGCGACCCCCGTCCTTTATAGACCCCCAATGTGCGACCCCCGTCCTTTATAGACCCCCAATGTGCGACCCCCGTCCTTTATAGACCCCCAATGTGCGACCCCCGTCCTTTATAGACCCCCAATGTGCGACCCCCGTCCTTTATAGACCCCCAATGTGCGACCCCTATCCTCTGAGCACCCCATCACGCCCCCCCTCCCCCACACTATAGTTGTATGTGATTCTTATCTTTTTTTCTCTGTGAATATTTGATATATATTTTTGACTGTTGGCTTGTGATACAAGAATTGCTGTATATGCACTGTTTTAGCTTTCAATGTGCTAATATCAATTATATTTTCAGTGTGCTCATGTAAATCATGTTTTTAAGTGTGTTCACATACAATATGTTTTTTGTGTGCTCATATAAATTATGTTTTTAAGTGTGTTCGTGTAAATTATGTTTTTAAGTGTATCCGTGTAAATCATGTTTTAAGCTCCGGGTATCACCAACCATTCGAGGGCCTAGGTCCCAAGCTTCTCTTTCAAGAATTTATGTTTGGATCTGTTTTTCTCTTTAAATATAAGCTTTAATTTGGTTGAGAGGAAAAGAGTTAAAATATCTGCAGTTGTGAACAATAGGAATAATTTGTTTATGTCGATCCTTCCAGTTTAATTACAATTAGCTGATTAGCAAATTCGGTGCTCCATTTTATTAGTTTATTTTTTTAAAGTATCAAAAACTTTAATCCAATCCAAACTTTTGGACTGATTTTTTCCCGCTCTCGTTTCAGTGGATCAGTTGACGTGAAGGCCCCCGAATGGTTGGTGACAGGTCACGTGGCATCGCAAGAAAGACGCTGATTGGCTGTTGGCTAGTTGGTATAGGATACTTTGACTGCGGGCTATGCCGCCCTTGGATTTGAGTATGTGAACTTATAAAATGTGATTATGCCAGAAATCTTTGAACGAGTTATTTGTCAGCTTTTGTACTCATCTAAATAAAAATGAAATCACATTGAATTCAATCAATAGAACTGTTGACGTTTGTTCTACAAAATGTCTTGAAATATTTTCTAATAAAATAAAAGCAAAACGATTTTAATAAAAAGATTCCTGCATCTACTCATCACACTCCGGTCAAATTCGTGACTGGCACAAAGCAGTGGCGCCACCTGTTGGGGGGGGGGGTGTAGCCCCAATACCGCACTAGGTGACACACTACCTAGGGACGCCATTAATAAAGAAAAAAAAGACCCAAAGATTTTAAAATTTAGTCTCAGTCCTAATTTCCAAATGTCGAATGCTACTGCTTGCACTTCAGTATTTTCAAAATATTTATCAGATAGAAATCCAATGGTGAAATGTTGATGGCGTTTTAATAAGACGGTCATATGACCAATGTGTTTGCTGGTCACATGACCAATGTGATGGCTGGTCACATGATGGAAGTATCACGTGATGAATGTAAGATTGAAGCAATATTGAATGATTGCCCAACCCAGAGCCATTTTTACAATCACGTGTTTGTTGTAAGGGGGACAAAGGTCGTGAGGTCGTATGGTCAAAGGTCATGTGGCTAAAGGGCATGTGGTCAAAGGTCGTGTGCGAGGTCACAATGTGTTTGGCTGGTTGTAACATTTCCTTGCATGTGTTGTACAATTTTTATTGCTATGATGTTTAATTAACTTAATTGGCAAAATGTTTTTTCACTATTCTATAGGGGCAATCCATAAACGACGTCACGTTTTTAAACGATTTACCCTCCCCCCCCACCATTGTCATCCACTGTCACACAAATTAGAGAGTAAAAAAGTGACGTCACACCTCAGACTACACCCCTACTCCCTCAGAGTTTGTGTGTGTTTGTCAAACATCGATTTCTTCACTAACAGCAAACTGAGATCCTTCAACATTGCATGCCTTGATCAAGTTCACAAACATTTTTTTTAAAAGCAAATTAACGGCTATAATCCCGTTTCTAACTTTATTTTTAAAAATCTAAAATTGTGTCGTCACACTTACCACCCCTCCCCCATTCTTCATCATACAACGTCACACACGTCTTAACCCCCTCCCACACCCTCCCACACATCATACAACGTCACAAAAGTCTTAACACTCTCACACACCCTCCCACACATCATACAACGTCACAAAAGTCTGAACACCCTCCCACACTTCATACAACGTCACAAAAGTCTGAACACCCTCCCACACTTCATACAACGTCACAAAAGTCTGAACACCCTCCCACACTTCATACAACGTCACAAAAGTCTGAACACCCTCCCACACTTCATACAACGTCACAAAAGTCTGAACACCCTCCCACACTTCATACAACGTCACAAAAGTCTTAACACCCTCCCACACCCTCCCACACTTCCACCTAAGAGTGTGATGTCGTTTATGGTAACCTCTTTTTTATTTGATTTGTTTGAATTGTTTCTTTAAATATTTTACCTTGATCTAACTTGTTTTTTTTAAAATAAACCTGGCGAGGTCCAAACATATTGTAGAGCAATTTGTATAGAACTTAATGAATAAATTGGGTCAAGGTCAGATTAGTGTACACACTAAATATCTGCTGGGTGTGTCGTGTCAGGTGTGTACACAGACACACCATGTTTTAGTGTGTACATGGAGATAGGTGCAGGTTATTGTGTACATGGAGATAGGTGCAGGTTATTGTGTACAAGGAGATAGGTGCAGGTTATTGTGTACAAGGAGATAGGTGCAGGTTATTGTGTACAAGGAGATAGGTGCAGGTTATTGTGTACAAGGAGATAGGTGCAGGTTATTGTGTACATGGAGATAGGTGCAGGTTATTGTGTACATGGAGATAGGTGCAGGTTATTGTGTACATTGAGATAGGTGCAGGTTATTGTGTACAAGGTGAGAGGTGCAGGTTGTTGTGTACATGGAGATAGGTGCATGTTATTGTGTACATGGAGATAGGTGCAGGTTATTGTGTACATGGAGATAGGTGCAGGTTATTGTGTACATGGAGATAGGTGCAGGTTATTGTGTACAAGGAGATAGGTGCAGGTTGTGTACAAGGAGATAGGTGCAGGTTATTGTGTACATGGAGATAGGTGCAGGTTATTGTGTACATGGTGATAGGTGCAGGTTATTGTGTACAAGGAGATAGGTGCAGGTTATTGTGTACATGGAGATAGGTGCAGGTTATTGTGTACATGGAGATAGGTGCAGGTTATTGTGTACATGGAGATAGGTGCAGGTTATTGTGTACATGGAGATAGGTGCAGGTTATTGTGTACATGGAGATAGGTGCAGGTTATTGTGTACAAGGAGATAGGTGCAGGTTATTGTGTACAAGGAGATAGGTGCAGGTTATTGTGTACATGGAGATAGGTGCAGGTTATTGTGTACATGGAGATAGGTGCAGGTTATTGTGTACATGGAGATAGGTGCAGGTTATTGTGTACATGGAGATAGGTGCAGGTTATTGTGTACATGGAGATAGGTGCAGGTTATTGTGTACAAGGAGATAGGTGCAGGTTATTGTGTACATGGAGATAGGTGCAGGTTATTGTGTACATGGAGATAGGTGCAGGTTATTGTGTACAAGGAGATAGGTGCAGGTTATTGTGTACAAGGAGATAGGTGCAGGTTATTGTGTACATGGAGATAGGTGCAGGTTATTGTGTACATGGAGATAGGTGCAGGTTATTGTGTACATGGAGATAGGTGCAGGTTATTGTGTACATGGAGATAGGTGCAGGTTATTGTGTACATGGAGATAGGTGCAGGTTATTGTGTACATGGAGATAGGTGCAGGTTATTGTGTACATGGAGATAGGTGCAGGTTATTGTGTACATGGAGATAGGTGCAGGTTATTGTGTACATGGAGATAGGTGCAGGTTATTGTGTACATGGAGATAGGTGCAGGTTATTGTGTACATGGAGATAGGTGCAGGTTATTGTGTACAAGGAGATAGGTGCAGGTTATTGTGTACAAGGAGATAGGTGCAGGTTATTGTGTACATGGAGATAGGTGCAGGTTATTGTGTACAAGGAGATAGGTGCAGGTTATTGTGTACAAGGAGATAGGTGCAGGTTATTGTGTACATGGAGATAGGTGCAGGTTATTGTGTACAAGGAGATAGGTGCAGGTTATTGTGTACAAGGAGATAGGTGCAGGTTATTGTGTAGATGGAGATAGGTGCAGGTTATTGTGTACATGGAGATAGGTGCAGGTTATTGTGTACATATATATAGGTGCAGGTTATTGTGTACATGGAGATAGGTGCAGGTTATTGTGTACATGGAGATAGGTGCAGGTTATTGCGTGAATCCTTCGTTACGATATAAACACAGTGACGTCATTCTTGGTTAATTTTTGTACACGCTAACTTAATCATTGGTGTATTTGTGTTGTTCATTTTGGTTTTAAAATTTTAAACATTAACTTGAATTTAAAAATGAAATTTTAAATATGTAAAAGCTAAAATCCCATGAGGATATTTCGGTAAATAAAAGTCAGCAAATTGTATATTGACTCTACTCGTATATTCGCATGTTCACCATATTAATGTGGTGACCATGATTACAGGGTCACCATTTGCGTGTGGTCAACATATTAATGTGGTCACCATGATTACAGGGTCACCATTTCCGTGTTGTCACCACCATAAGGTGACAATTTTATGTGTTTGCCTTGTATATTTTGTCACTTTTAAAAATTTGTTTTCTTTAGCTGTTGATTCGACTTTTAAAACTTGTAGAAATAAAATTATCATTTGATTTATCTTTTAAGATTATAAGATTATCCTCTGAAAAATATTGTTGAAATGTTTTGTTTTATTTACTGACTTGTAAAAACAAACCCTAACGCTAGCTGTGCTAATTTATGTTTATGCTAATGTTTGTTAATGTTATGTACATATTTTTAGACGTTTGATTCTACTTAGACATTTTGAAGCTTAGACACAACTTTATGTGACACATACACACCTTTATGTGACACATACACAACTTTATGTGACACATACACAACTTTATGTGACACATACCAACTTTATGTGACACATACACAACTTTATTTTGTCTATATATTTAACAGTAGATTTATCTTATTTGTCTTATCACGATTCGCAAATTACCTACACAGACCAAAGTGAATTAAGTACCTTTTGTTTTATCAAATAAAAAGTTAGGGTTCGCAAATTACCTACACAGACCAAAGTGAAATAAGTATCTTTTGTTTTATCAAATAAAAAGTTAGGGTTCGCAAATTACCTACACAGACCAAAGTGAATTAAGTACCTTTTGTTTTATCAAATAAAAAGTAAGGGTTCGCAAATTACCTACACAGACCAATGTGAATTAAGTACCTTTTGTTTTATCAAATAAAAAGTAAGGGTTCGCAAATTACCCACACAGACCGAAGTGAATTAAGTATCTTTTGTTTTATCAAATAAAAAGTTAGGGTTCGCAAATTACCCACACAAACCAAAGTGAATTAAGTATCTTTTGTTTTATCAAATAAAAAGTTAGGGTTCGCAAATTACCTACTCAGACCAAAGTGAATTAAGTACCTTTTGTTTTATCAAATAAAAAGTTAGGGTTCGCAAATTACCTACACAGACCAAAGTGAATTAAGTATCTTTTGTTTTATCAAATAAAAAGTTAGGGTTCGCATATTACCCACACAGTCCAAAGTGAATTAAGTATCTTTTGTTTTATCAAATAAAAAGTTAGGGTTCGCAAATTACCCACACAGTCACAGCGAATGACGTTACAGAGCGCGTCAACATTTAGCGATGCTGACCTTTAACCTCAGTCAAGTTATTCTTCATTTGTAGATGGGAAATTTGTTTTTATTTTGTTGGTTTCAAATTGATCGGAAAGAAACAATTTGTCGAAGAAACTGTTTTTTTGTATGTTTATAGATACATGGGTGTGTCACAGGCATTAGGTGGCAGTGGTATGGCTACAGTTGTCACAGACATGTCATCAACCTGTCCCTGACATGTCATCAACCTGTCCCTGGCATGTCATCGACCTGTCACTGACATGTCAACGACCTGTCACTGACATGACATCGACCTGTCACTGACATGTCATCGACCTGTCACTGACATGTCATCGACCTGTCCCTGACATGTCATCGACCTGTCACTGACATGTCATCGACCTGTCCCTGACATGGCATCGACCTGTCACTGACATGTCATCGACCTGTCACTGACATGTCATCGACCTGTCACTGACATGTCATCGACCTGACACTGACATGTCATCGACCTGTCCCTGACATGGCATCGACCTGTCACTGACATGTCATCGACCTGTCACTGACATGTCATCGACCTGTCACTGACATGTCATCGACCTGTCACTGACATGTCATCGACCTGTACAGAAGGCGAGGGGTGGTGGCAGGAGGGGTGGTGGCAGGAGGGGAGGGGAGGTGGGGAGGTAGGGAAGAGGGCATGTTATAAAAAAGATTTAAAAAGTAGATGCCAATATTATTGAAATAAATCTTGATGATCTTCTTCGATGTGTTGTTATTGGTGTGTGTGTGTGTGACGTCACGATGAGGGGAAAACCCACGAATGTTACAAAAACAAAACTCGAATGTTATAATTTTGCTACAAAAAAAAAATAACCACACCAATATATTACAAAGACAGCAATAACCTTTGAGATTATAGTAAAAATACTTTTAAAAAACTATTAAAACACAGTATTTAGCTTTTAAATACACTGAATATAAAAATAAGATTAAAAACAAAAACCATCTTGCTTTCTATAATAAAAGCTTTGATCGTTCATGAAATATCTGACACATTTTAACGACCAATGCTTTAATTAACGAAAACAAGTTTTTAGTTCGTGTAAAAAAACAACACCGCCACTGAAGCAACTGTCATTACTGTCTACAAAAATTCCTCTAGTTCTAGTGGTTGGATGTTAGTCTAATTGCCCCCCCCCCCCCTCCCCCAATTCTAACTGACGTCAGGACGGTGATGACGTCAGAAGAACTCGTTAGGAGCAGGTTCATTAAAGTAATTGATCACGTGCTTACCGCAAGTGACGTAGGCAATCAAATTCTTCACGAGCGGTGAGTCACGTGGTATGATGTAACATTTGGCCCAGCCAATCAAATGTCAGCATTCAGGCTCCGCCCCCACAGGGTTAAACACATACACACACACACATACAAACACACACTTATAGTTTAGGCGATTAACAAAGTCGTCCAACATCCAACAAGGTCCATACG